AATTCTTCATCATCAATGAAATTAGACATATGACTCAAAAAAATAAGATCTTGCATTGTTTTAGAAGACGCCATTACGAAAAAAACTTTGTCGCGAACGAACAGTTTTGTATTTACATTCAGTGCCGTTGTCGTCCTACCGACCGACTGCATCTTAAGTTTCCTTTTTCGCGCCGAAACTGACGTTCTCGTTCCAGTGCTTTCCCGGTCAACAGACGTCGTCGTCGTGAACTTCGTCGTGGTTCTTAAGTTCCCTATTATAGAGTGCACAAAAACGCTAGATAATCCAGGTATAGCGTTGTTTTTAGATTTCAGTTTCACAGTTTAGAGTGGAACTTTATTCAAAAGGCTTTAGAGACGTTTAATTTCGGCGCTCCTTTAATACAGTGGTTCATAATGGTTATGCGACGTCGTTTTTCGAATTAGAGCGCGGTGTAAGGCAAGGCTGCCCTCGTTGTGATGTACTCTTTGTAATTGCTGTCGAAATTTTAGCAAATGTAATAAGAAACGACAAATTGATAACGGGTATAAATTTCAAAGGCAGGGAGTATAAGTTATCTCAATACGCGGATGACACCTCATGCTTGGTGCGCGACGAAAAGTCAGTTAAAAAGCTTTTCAAGAAGTTAGAGGCTTTTAGAGGGTGTTGCGGATTAGAGCTGAATAAAAAACGGAGGCATTGTGGTTGGGAAAAACTAGACCGCAATTGACAAACCTTTTCAACATAAACGGGCCCACGAAGTGTGTTTGTCTAGGCATTTCTTTCTCATGAGATTCGGAAGCTTCAACAAACAGTCCGGGCCACAACCAGATCTGGATATGTAATTTCCTGCAATCTGATTGGCTCAGAACTCAACCAAAACATTGACTTGACCGCGAAAGGACTAAGCTCGACAGAAATGTCGAACAGGGAAACTTCGAAGCAAATAGCTGTCGAGTGCTTTGGGTAGAATGTACCTTGAGGAAAAGTAACAGCAATACGGAGCCGATTAATCGAGATTATTTTATGCGTCATAGCGTTCGATTTACGAATATCGAGATGTTAATGATCGAGAACGCTTTCTGTAAACACCCGTGTATTTCTGATAATACTTCAAGAGACCAGAAACAACTCGACGACTCCGATCGAATTGGAAGAATAGGGAATTTGAATACTGCGATACATTTTAAGTGGAAAGGTTTTAAGAAGTCCTGTTTGCAGTAATTTCTGCCAGCACAGCTTCGACCTGGAGAAGTCTGTTCTATTCTACTCCGGGCGCAATACCATACGCGCTAAAATCTAATTTCGATGGAAGGATTGATAATCATAATCTTAATGCTAATTATTCTTGCTGTATATAAATTTCCAGTATATTGAATCGTCACACATGTTGGAAATATGCGAAGGTCAAAGAAATAAAATTTGTAGAAATTGCACTCGCGAAGAGTCGTAAGCAGTTATTAACGAACTTCTGTCTTTACTTATTGCAAATTGTAAAACCCTATTGCGGATGAAAATAATGCAAGTGGACGTATTCGTATTCTACTAGCTGTTAAATAGTCACTGAGAGGACGTAAACATAATTTGACAATTGTATTTTGAAAAATAGCTTTGACAAATGAGACAGATGGGCAGACTTTACTATTGTTTGTGTCAAGATATTTAATAGAATGGTTTTTCAAAAGACAAGAAAATATTATATATATTTATATCCCTATATTTTTTACAAAAATTTGTTCCTTTAAATTATTGTTAAGGGGGTGCATCAGTTGAGACGACTGATGCGGTTCTAAATCTCAAAGGAAGGTGTCACATTGGGGTGCAGGGCTAGTACAGCATCAAAGTAGTTTTTTGGCATGAGAGATTTCATAATACCATGTGTCTACTATGTACCGTAAAACTACTATATCCTAGGTAATGGCATAGTTTTTACACTAAATCAACAAAACTCAGAAACCTAGGCATTGTTTGGGATACAAGACAGCCTTTATTAATCATAACAAAATACAATACATGGTAAATAACTAAAAGGTAACATTTAGTATAAATATAAAGTGCTCCAACAAATAAGAAAGACCAAACTAAAAAAGAATTAAAACAACCTCAATCAAATAAAAAAAGTGATCACACTGTTCAAAATTGTATTTGATTGACCAAAATAAGACCCTACAGAAAGGGAGGGAGGGAAATGATTGCTAGTGCAATAAAAGTGAATGTTGCTACTGCCATGCCAAGTGAAAATGTGACTAAACTAGAATTGTATCCGTCTGTAACACATATTACAGTCGTGGTATTCCCACATACACACTGAAAAACTTATTGGGCACTAAGCCTCTATTATCATTAGATTATGTTTGTCCTGTACCATACAGTCAAACCCCTCTTCACGGACACCAGCTTAATGTGGACTCCCTGTTATTATGGGAAGTTTCTTTGGTCACTGGGGAAAACCCTTAATTTTTCTCTTTATTTAACCCACTTAATGCAGACTGACCTGTTAAAGTGGATAATGGACGTTTTTTTCTTCCTCAATGAACAGATTCTCATATAAAGTCAACCTCGCTAATCCGCACACTTTCTAGTCCATTGTGTGCTGTAGTCAACCCCTTTTTTGTAAGGTAAAAAAACCTTTCACTTAATTGACGTCATGTCCATGTTCCCAGCATCATAGTACACCAAAATGAATGAATTGTGCACACCAATAATAGACCATTTTGACATCAATCGAGTTGGTAAATTTTACATAATTTTTGATCGATTTTCTTGAGACTTCCGTGTGTTTTCATGGACACAGTCTGCAGAATAAGAGCTTAGTGATGTTTAAAGATGTTAGGTGTGATGCTGTAGTATTTCGATAAAAAAAGTGTATTTGTGACTTAAAAACAGGACCTGCTCGATATGGACACCTCCGTTATAACAGTGTCAGTGTCCATATCAATGGGGTTTGACTGTAATTATGAAATATGGAACAGTTTTGTAAGATCGATCATTTGGTGTCCTGTTTAAAGTGTATTTTCAGTCATTCTTCACATTTTCCACCTTGCATGTCATAACCTAAGGCGAAGTAAAGTAACAAATAAATAATAAATTAAAAAATCATATGAGCAATCGAAAATACAGGCATTTTTTTATGTACCTCAATCTGTGTACATTTATTTCATTGAAATGAAAGGGTTATCCAGGGATGACCAATGCTCTTATTATATTGTCAGCATTGACATTTTAATTCAGCAATCGAAAATTATATAAGTGGGAAACTGGTTTGCACTGTTGCATACTGTCTCGTGACAGTGATTAATCAACCATCATCATTGCAGTCAAGATTTTTGTATTCAAAGCTATCGTATTGCCTCCTACAATGTGGGCTCGCTTGGGGCTATTCTTGTTGTTTTCACTTTTCTGAACTCGTGACAAGGTAGTCATTTACAAGTAGAGTTTCAAATGTAATTTTCTATTGTTTAAACTTGAAGATGCAGTTATCTTACTCGTATACCATGTCATCAAGACCTTCGCATGATTCTTCAACTGATTTGAGAGTTTTCACCATGTTTGAAACCCTTTTAAATTGTTCTGGTCCTTTCATCAAATGTAGTCTCCAGGTGCGGGGTATCACTGCACCTCCTCCTACTTGCTCATTGCGTTTCCATTTCTGTGTCGTTGGAGGCCTCCTTGATGTCCTTGCATCTGCTGTTATTAATGTTATAGTCAAAATATAAAGAATAAGAATCAATTCATAACCATTGTTTGCAAAGTAAAATAAATATTATAATGATACAAAATTTAACACCTTTTATAGGCCCAGGGCAGGATGCTCGTTGCTTAATACTTGATCAATGGTGAGGCTTGCCCTAAAAACTTAAGCCTGAACGGGGTAGTCACCTTGTTTTCTTCAATCAAGGGGCAGACCACTAGAAAAGCTATAGGGGATGGTGGGTGGGGAATTTTCAATGCATTTTTTTGTTTACTTTTCCCATGCATGAATTTTTCTAGGCCAGTGCATGAATATTTTTATTTATTTTTCCCTTGCACAACTGTTATGTACATCGCCCACCCAGCTCAATAAGTTTTCTAACTGTCCATACCAAATCTACATGTACATCTGTATTATAATTGAAAAAAAAAGAGAGTATAAAACAATGGTCAATATAATGAAATAAACTGACCCTTCAATTTCAGAAATATTTCCCTTTGTCATTTCCTCGACCAATGTCCTGTTCAGAAAGTACTGGACTCTTCCGATTGGTTTGCCAATGACATTCCGGACTAGATAGCTCTTTTTCAAAGACCTGTTGTGCATGGTTTTGTTAAGCATTTCCTCGCTCAAGCCACGTGGCACTCTGCACAAAAGTGCAAACTCATCACGTCCACCAACTTCTCTTTCGACAGTCGTTCGCGCTCCAACAGGAAGCTTAATCCCAAATTCATGGTAACTGGAGGTTAGAAATTAAAGATTTGTGTTTCTTAATACCCGACTAAAACAGGAAAATAAAAGTAAAGCACATTTCAGGCGTACCCCTTGATGAAACAGTTCGCTAACTCGACGATCATATCGTACTTTGCGACCGTGTCGAGGGCGGGTTCATCGCTGTAGTCCTGGATACAATATGAAGCAAAAAGACCATAAGCCTCAGAAAGAGTATTTAAACGACTGACAAAGTTGAATTACCTTTTGCAGCCATTTTGAAGTTATAACACAGCCGCCGCGTGCTGCAGATTCGCGCGAAATGTACCACCCTTGTACGCTTCTTGCATTTCATTGATTGGAGATTTTAAGCCTTCTCATACGATTGGTCGACAGAATGTAAACACCTGAATTTTTTTTAGATTTGCCGCGAGGTGGCTCAGATTTTTCACTTTTTACACCAGGTCAAATTCATCGTTTGTGTTCCTTGTGTACACCAACCCGTAAGTTTAATATTTTACAATGCAGCAACACCTATAGAGCAGTGGTTTTCATGTTGTTCGGACCACACTGACTGCTTTGGGTCTGTGGTACAGACAGCTACAAGGGCGGAACAAAGATGTCAACGTCCCCTGAACAGCAGCCTGAATCAGTGCAGGAAAGCAGCCCCGATACTGAAGGTACACCAACAGAAGCGACCGGGTCTACGTAAGTGAACTTTTGCGAAAGTGATGAAATTATTTCAGGGTGTCCTGTTGGCTGTTGAGGGCAGCTTGGAGGAATGGAATTTCCGCGCTCTGGGATGGCAAGTAAAAATGTGCTTAAACGATTTATTTTGTTTCAGGATATCTGGGCCTCGAAGCAACGAAATCGGGAAGGAATTTAGTCCCACGAACTAAAGAGAAACATTGTTACGTACAGGGTGTCAGTGCGCGAGCAAACACGTTGTGCAAACGAAAACGTACCTTATTCAACAAAGGAATGATGCTTAACGTGAAGACCAAGGCGGAGGTGCTAATAATCATTAACAACGGAAAACAGAGACATGTATGCGGATCTGATAGTATCATGAAAACATACGCAGACGGGAAACTGAGACCCAGCGATTCTGACAAGATGTACAAAGAAAATTTAGTCAGCTATTTGGAGGACCAAGTGTCAAACCTTGGTGTCTGCCCTCTGGAGAATGCTCCTGATAAATTAGAGTTAGACTCCACCCTGGCTGGCGTTCTTGGTCACAGTACAGAATATACGGTAGCAGAGAACCCAGACACCGAAGGGCAGCCGCGAAGTCAGAGATCTATTGACCTGCATGCCAGTTCAACTTCTGCACTTTCAGAGCCAGTGAGGCAGTTACCTCTTAATAGAAGAAAACCTCAGCTGAGCCAGGAGGAGCCCTCAAATATAGACTCGACACAGTTAGCTAGCAAGATCACTTTTATTTCAGAAGACTCCATTGAAGCAGTCACGTAGTAGGACCCTTTAATTTGATTGGAAATACTGACCTTCTCAGAGTCGTTGAAATATGTTAAAAGATTTTACAATTGAGAGGAAAACAAATCAAGGTTATACTATCGTATCAGTTTTGTTTAACCGCAAGATGGTGATAATATATATTGCAAAGAGGTGTAATATTCATGGACGTACTTTCTTTAAGGGACTACAAGATAACAGCAAAGACTTGAAAATTAGTACAATATTTCAGGCTGTCATTTTTTGCTTGTACATGTCATTACCAGTTAATGGTAAATCATGAACATGACAAAGGGGTGCAGATATCATTCCTCAAAGGACTGGAACCTTTTGGCGCATGCCCTTTTTTTGAAAGATTTTTCTGGTAAGATTAATTAGCACTTGCTGGTAAATAATTTTACTTGTTGTGAAGGTTTGCAGTCGCTTAACTTTGGGCCAACAATACATGTTAAACACGTGCCCTAAACCCAATCTCTCCTCCCAAGACATCCCCCCCTCCCCTCCTTCCCATGTGATGGAATGGAAATTTACCTTTTAGGTGGAATATTATAAAGCTTCTGCAAATGACAGCAAAGGTAGACTGTTTTGCACTGTTACTCTTGTTTCGTTTTTATTGTTATTTTGTAATAAAAAATAGACCGACGAGATTTGTCCCATTGAAAATCGTTAAACAAATCCCCAGTTTTGACACGCATCATCGCCATTGCCATTTTGCTGGACAACTTTTGTCCACCAATATCCCATCCCGCCCCCTTCCAACATTTTAAACCTGGTTTTTCATAGCTAAACACATGGGAAGTGACTCCTTTCAATATTACACTTGCTTGATAACGAGAAAGAAAAAATTCACATTATATGAGAACATTTTGCTTAAAAGTTCATGGGAGAGTGAATGCAACTATTCATTCGCCATCTTCTTCAATCTCCACACTCTGGAAAACCATTTCTAAGACATCCGCACTATTTAGCTCCTCTACAATTTCTTCATACAAAGCTAGCAAAGTGTCCTTTTTAATTCTTGCAATTTGCCTTTTGAAATCAGCCAGCTTTTTCATCAGATCAGATTTTTTTCAGATCACTCAGCAACTGAAGTTTTTCATCTGCCCGGCGTAGAATTTCTTCCTTTGTGGCATTGCCAATATATTCAGCAACTGATATTTGCTCGGTTGCGACATACACTGGTTGTATGCCTACTGCTCGCCTCTTGTCACCATCTATCAAATGTTTCACTTAAAGACTCTTCCAGTTCATGCTGCAAATTCTCTGGAAGTTTCTGAGTTCATGGTCAAGTACTTTTCCTCCAAGTGACATATGCTGATGGGGGTCACAATGCATAAAATACCTGGAATAATTCAATGTACAAAACAAATTTAGGTGATAAAAACTTTATCGGTGTAAAAATGACTTCTGGAGTAATCTTAGTATCACTATTTCTGACCTTGTCCGTAAAAATCATTTGTGCAATCAATGTTGAGAAAATCAATGCAAACCACAAATATTCTTTATACAGAACCAATTCGTTATAATGAGATTTGAATAAACATTTGGTTTAGGAAAAAATTTCAACAGGTGTTTGCTATGAGACAGGGGCTTCACACTAGTTCATCTGCTACAACGTACCGCTCTTTTCGCAACTTTATTCTCCAAGCCAGAACCTCGTCTGCAAAGTCATACTTTCGGCGTGACTCTACAGCTTCATCCTTGGGACTGGCGAGACCAATGAGAGAGAACAGCCATTTCCTAACCTTAAAAGAAAGAAAGTGAAAGAAGTTAATGTAATTTGTTTTGCATTCAGCATAAATGATATTAAAAGCTGCTTTACTGTATCTGACTTAAGCCTTTGCAAGACAAATGTGTTATCTCTATTCTCATTTGACAAAATTTTAGCAGAGGAGTATACAATGAGAAAAATGGAGACGATCACCAAACAAATGAAATTTTGATGACTGTTTATTGCTAAATAAAATATTCTTACCAACACAAAAAGGATCAAAATACTGTGGTACACTGGTATTATACTTGGTATTATATAGTTTTTCCAACCAGAGGTTGTTGGAAGGTTTTCTTTATGGTACTATAAAAACAGGCATGTTAAAAATTTCGGATATATGTGAAATCGGCGGTTATGCAATGTTTATCTCGAAGTTGTTCTTGATCATGTTGAGATCTTCTTCAGTCATTTAGACGAAGCAAATTTGATAATTAAGCTCCTTGATTAACGTTGGTGTTGCATGTTGTTTTGTTATTCATATCATGCCTATGGGCATTCACTTTACCTGTGTCATTGGGCATTTGCTGAAATTTATAAATTTAGTCAGCTATTTGGAGGACCAAGTGTCAAACCTTGGTGTCTGCCCTCTGGAGAATGCTCCTGATAAATTAGAGTTAGACTCCACCCTGGCTGGCGTTCTTGGTCACAGTACAGAATATACGGTAGCAGAGAACCCAGACACCAAAGGGCAGCCGCGAAGTCAGAGATCTATTGACCTGCATGCCAGTTCAACTTCTGCACTTTCAGAGCCAGTGAGGCAGTTACCTCTTAATAGAAGAAAACCTCAGCTGAGCCAGGAGGAGCCCTCAAATATAGACTCGACAAAGTTAGCTAGCAAGATCACTTTTATTTCAGAAGACTCCATTGAAGCAGTCACGTAGTAGGACCCTTTAATTTGATTGGAAATACTGACCTTCTCAGAGTCGTTGAAATATGTTAAAAGATTTTACAATTGAGAGGAAAACAAATCAAGGTTATACTATCGTATCAGTTTTGTTTAACCGCAAGATGGTGATAATATATGTTGCAAAGAGGTGTAATATTCATGGACGTACTTTCTTTAAGGGACTACAAGATAACAGCAAAGACTTGAAAATTAGTACAATATTTCAGGCTGTCATTTTTTGCATGTACATGTCATTACCAGTTAATGGTAAATCATGAACACGACAAAGGGGTGCAGATATCATTCCTCAAAGGACTGGAACCTTTTGGCGCATGCCCTTTTTTTTTAAAGATTTTTCTGGTAAGATTAATTAGCACTTGCTGGTAAATAATTTTACTTGTTGTGAAGGTTTGCAGTCGCTTAACTTTGGGCCAACAATACATGTTAAACACGTGCCCTAAACCCAATCTCTCCTCCCGAGACATCCGCCCTCCCCTCCTTCCCATGTGATGGAATGGAAATTTACTTATTTGGCGGAATATTATAAAGCTTCTGCAAATGACAGCAAAGGTAGACTGTTTTGCACTGTTACTCTTGTTTCGTTTTTATTGTTATTTTGTAATAAAAAATAGACCGACGAGATTTGTCCCATTGAAAATCGTTAAACAAATCCCCAGTTTTGACACGCACCATTGCCATTGCCATTTTGCTGGACAACTTTTGTCCACCAATATCCCATCCGGCCCCCTTCCAACATTTTAAACCTGGTTTTTCATAGCTAAACAAATGGGAAGTGACTCCTTTCAATATTACACTTGGTTGATAACGAGAAAGAAAATTTTCACATTATATGAGAACATTTTGCTTAAAAGTTCATGGGAGAGTGAATGCAACTATTCATTCGCCATCTTCTTCAATCTCCATACTCTGGAAAACCATTTCTAAGACATCCGCACTATTTAGCTCCTCTACAATTTCTTCATACAAAGCTAGCAAAGTGTCCTTTTTAATTCTTGCAATTTGCCTTTTGAAATCAGCCAGCTTTTTCATCAGATCAGATTTTTTTCAGATCACTCAGCAACTGAAGTTTTTCATCTGCCCGGCGTAGAATTTCTTCCTTTGTGGCATTGCCAATATATTCAGCAACTGATATTTGCTCGGTTGCGACATACACTGGTTGTATGCCTACTGCTCGCCTCTTGTCACCATCTATCAAATGTTTCACTTAAAGACTCTTCCAGTTCATGCTGCAAATTCTCTGGAAGTTTCTGAGTTCATGGTCAAGTACTTTTCCTCCAAGTGACATATGCTGATGGGGGTCACAATGCATAAAATACCTGGAATAATTCAATGTACAAAACAAATTTAGGTGATAAAAACTTTATCGGTGTAAAAATGACTTCTGGAGTAATCTTAGTATCACTATTTCTGACCTTGTCCGTAAAAATCATTTGTGCAATCAATGTTGAGAAAATCAATGCAAACCACAAATATTCTTTATACAGAACCAATTCGTTATAATGAGATTTGAATAAACATTTGGTTTAGGAAAAAATTTCAACAGGTGTTTGCTATGAGACAGGGGCTTCACACTAGTTCATCTGCTACAACGTACCGCTCTTTTCGCAACTTTATTCTCCAAGCCAGAACCTCGTCTGCAAAGTCATACTTTCGGCGTGACTCTACAGCTTCATCCTTGGGACTGGCGAGACCAATGAGAGAGAACAGCCATTTCCTAACCTTAAAAGAAAGAAAGTGAAAGAAGTTAATGTAATTTGTTTTGCATTCAGCATAAATGATATTAAAAGCTGCTTTACTGTATCTGACTTAAGCCTTTGCAAGACAAATGTGTTATCTCTATTCTCATTTGACAAAATTTTAGCAGAGGAGTATACAATGAGAAAAATGGAGACGATCACCAAACAAATGAAATTTTGATGACTGTTTATTGCTAAATAAAATATTCTTACCAACACAAAAAGGATCAAAATACTGTGGTACACTGGTATTATACTTGGTATTATATAGTTTTTCCAACCAGAGGTTGTTGGAAGGTTTTCTTTATGGTACTATAAAAACAGGCATGTTAAAAATTTCGGATATATGTGAAATCGGCGGTTATGCAATGTTTATCTCGAAGTTGTTCTTGATCATGTTGAGATCTTCTTTAGTCATTTAGACGAAGCAAATTTGATAATTAAGCTCCTTGATTAACGTTGGTGTTGCATGTTGTTTTGTTATTCATATCATGCCTATGGGCATTCACTTTACCTGTGTCATTGGGCATTTGCTGAAATTTATGATCTTAGTTCTTTCTGGGCATAATGACCTTGTTAGCAATGG